ACTGTTGTATGTCACTAAACAACAGGGAGATGTTCTGAGATAGACTGTTAGCCAATTTTACCATTGTAGGAACACTGTAGTGTACTTACGCAAACTAAGACAGCTACAAAGCCACTAGGTAATATATGTAGCCTACTATTGGTGGAAATGTTATGTGATACCTGAGTGTAAAAAGATTAATATATGGCAAAAAAAAAAATCTAAGCAAATATAAAAATACAAGTGACTGGAAGATAATGTGCAATGTATTAACAGTTAATGATCAGAAAAAAGAACTGTAATTAATGAAAAAATGCAACATAAAAGAGAAAATTTGGATAAAGGAAGCAAATAGGTTTTTAGGTTTTAAATACATCTATTTTCTAAGTGGCCAAGAAACATTAGCTAAAGATGCTCAAATTTGAAATAGTTCATGGGATTAAAATTAATGACAACTAGGGCCAGGGATTTAGCTCAGTGGTGCCGCCACCTGCATCACAAGTGTAAGGTCCCGAGTTTGATCCCCAGCACCAAAAATAAAATTATGACAACTAGAATATTAGGATTTAAGTCTGTTGGCTTGGCCAAAAATAGGAGATCTCATAATACATGAGGGCAAGGAAAGGACAGCCCTTGCTCCTTCTAGTGGAAGTGTGCATCTTTCCACCTCTAGAGGAAAACATGGTGGTGCTTACTAAAATGGGAGCTATGGAAAATCTTACATTTCTTAGTAGAGTGATAGAGAAAATATATTCATAAAAAGGAACAGTATGTGGCAACTGAAGAAATGAATTAGATCTTTACGTATCAGACAAGACCAGCTCAAACTGTAAAGCCAGGCAGTGATGTGCACGCCTGTTATCCCAGCACTTGGGAGGCTGAGATGGGGGGATTGCTTCAAGTTGGAGGCCAGCATGGAATACCTTGTCTCAAAAAACAAAACAACAAAGTACACCGAAGTGTAGAATGCTAAATAAAAAGCCAAATATGTGATAATAATTCATAACAACTATGAGAGCCTGATTGTGCCCCCAAAAAAATCTAAGGTGTTTTTGGGCAAAACCATAAAAGCTTTCTAGTGTTGTTTCGTTTTTAAATACAGTAAATGGAGACAGGCATCCTGCTCAATGTTAGGATTCAGCTGGCCTCATGTAAGAGAAAACCTAAAATAAAAGTGCAGTGGTTTAAGCAAAAGAGAAATTTGTCTCATGTAAAGCCCAAAAGTTAGCACCACCTTTGGTCTGCACAGCAAAGAATGTTTCCTAAATTTTCATCTACTTCATGGCATCTTCATTGCAATCTAGTGAAGACAGATATTCCCATCAATCACCACGGCAGATGAGAAAAATGAGGCATAGAGAAATGTGTAACTTGCCTGAGTCACTGACTGGAGACGCCTGTCCTCAGACCCAGCCACATACTTACTCACCTTTGAACCTCTCTGGCTTCATATGACCTGGAGTTAACGTTGTAGAACACGGTATTGGGTATTGCTGTCACAAATATAACTGGTTATGTCCAACAACAGTGTTTTGGTTCTTCTATTTTGAGAAAGCAACAACTGTGATTTAAATCATCCTTATTACTTCCACTGCACAGATAGAGGTGAGGCCTTTCTTGTAATGACAGTATCTCCCTGTATCATCAGGGTGTTAGGTAAAAAGAGCTGAAAACCAGGACCAGACCAGGACCCTAACAAGCTTTTATTATTGGAAGGATCTGCTGGGCTGTCTCTGAACAAAGGAGAGAAAGCAACACGGCATATCAGGGAGCTTCTTTTATAGGAGTGGGGTGGAGTGGAGTGAAGTACAATTAAGGGATTGGAGGAGCCTGTGACATCACTAGAAGGGGCTTGTGACATCACTAGTTGCTAGGAGATAGCAAGTATCAGGTCACCTTTCTTGGTGGGAAGAGAAGCATGTTGGGAAGAAGACTGTCCTTTGGTGAGAAGCCATATTTTAACATGACATTATAGGAAGGAGGCTACTATTTTATGTGGCAGCCATCTTAATGCAAGGGAAATCTAACACAGGGTATCCTTGGTTGGGTTGGGTATGAATGTATCACTTTCTTCCAGGTTGTATTTTTATTATTTCATCAATTTTATAAGCAACTACAATTACACATGTACAAATGTTTAACAGCTTTGAGAAATTTAAGATGAAATACATCTGTTCAGATCTTACTGAAATTTCTAAATGCCTACTTTATTCTTTGCAGTTATTCTTTCAGTACCACATTTTCCATTGTCTCCCTAGCCAGTTGCATTTCTTCTTCAGTGTGATTGTTTTCTGTATGTGCAACAAGGTAAACAGAGGGGGGTTTCAACTTGACTTTACAAAGCTAGTAAATTTACTATAACCTACACAAAGCTGTAATGAAGAAATATCTACAACTGTGTTAGGTAACAATTAAGTACCCTTCACAGTCACAGATGAGCAAGGAATCACTGATTCTCAGAATTTGAAAACATCAGCAATGGCTGTTAACTGAATAGCTGAGGCTGTATTCCTACATCAACTGGCTACAGGGACTTTAGCTACTGATTTCCTTTCCCACCTTTTTATTTTTTTATTGTTCTAACTAATTTAGTCATTTAGTCTTGATACTACTAACCCTCTGCCAATTATATAGAGATTATCTTTCTCTTGTCAATTGCTTGTTTATGTCTTGCCTTGTATTTTGGAAGCAAAGAAGAGTTTTTTATGGAGATATGCACTTTGCAACTTAAGAAACAGTTTCCTGCTGGGCATAGTGATGGAGGCAGGAGGACTGCCTCCAGTTCAAGGCCAGCCTGGGCTACACAGTAAGCTCAAGGATAGCCTGAGCTGGAGTAAGACTCTCTAAAAAATAAAATTAAAAAATTCCCTATCTTATACAGCATCACATGCTTGTAATCCCAGTTACTCCCAAGGCTGAGGCAGAAGGACCTCAAATTTGAGGCCAGCCTAGGCAAGACAGTAAGATTCTACCTCTAGAAGATAAAAAATAATTGCTTAGTTATTTTTCTTATTGCTAAGACAAAATACCCAAAACCCAAAGTTAAAGGAGGAAAGATTGATTTGACTCCTGGTTGTAGAGGTTTCAGTCTGTAATAGGTTGGCTCTAAGGCCGGGTGGCATGGCAGAGGGGCACTGCTGAGGAGAAAGTTAATGGCAGGCAGAAGATAACAAAGCAAGCAAGGGGCCTTAGCAGCTTTTTTCTGCCTCTTTTATATTTTATCTGGGCTACTGGGATTAGGGCAGTGCCAAACCAATCAGTGGAGAGTGATTTAGTAGTCATCCACCCTTACTCCTAGCACCTTTAATCACAGCCACCTCTGAAAAAACTCCACCTATGGCTGCATGAGGCTTTGGGGGACATCCAGACACAGCCATAACAGTTGTCTTAAATCTGTAGTTTACTTAGAATTTTTTTGGAAAACATGAAAATGCCAACCTCTTATTCTGTATTTGTTCTAACAGGTGGTGCAGCAGAACAAGCAGGAACAATAGAAGCTGGAGATGAAATTCTTGCTATTAACGGGAAATCCCTGGCTGGGCTCATGCACTTTGATGCTTGGAATATTTTGAAGTCTGTTCCGGAAGGACCTGTGCAGTTAATAATTAGAAAGCACAGGAATTCTTCATAAATTTTAACAAGAGTCACCTTTTCTAAGTTCTTATTTTAGCAAATCAAAATGACTTCTTTAAATGATGGGTTGAGACAACAAACAGTGATATAGACAAGGACTACAAAAATCTCCAAGTTTGTACTTACACATGAAGTCTGACCTACTGTGTTGCAGCAACAATGAAGGTAAACTCCAGAAGCCATTCATTCACCTGGATCACTTAGGCTGGGGAGTTCATTTTGTTCCAGTGCCTGTCCTCCCCTTTTAAGTCTGCAGTGGGGATACAAGGGGTGACATGCTTCATCTGAAATACCTAGCTACACCTCCACATCCCTCTAGCTCCATCTCCTAACATGGGACACAAATATGACTAAAAAGACTAGTTTCGCATAGCTTTGTGAGTGAGTGTCACAGTGCTCTGAGGCACATTCAGTGGAAAGAAGAGCTGTAGGTAGACAGATATTACCCTGAAAAGAAAATGAATGATGACCTAATCAGTAGGCTGAGCTCAGGAATTATCCCAAAACTAAAAAAGCAAAATACAGAAAGTAGTATTTTTTAATGTATAATGTACAAATGCAGAGTTCAACTCAATGAGTTGACTATAAAGTACTGATCATTTTCTATTTCTGCAAATTTAAGACATAAGCCTGTTTTACAGAATAACAGTCCCAATAAACTGTGTACATAGCTCTAAGCTTTGCTGCTAGGAGAAGCAGGAAATTCCAGCTCTGAAAGCACTTTGAATCTAGTTTTCAAACTGGTCTTGAGTAAGTCTTGAATTCAAGACTAGTCAACACAAAAGCGGGCAAAACTATCAGTTACTGGGTCTCCATTTCTACATCTTATGCACTCCAGTTAATAACTTACATTTTCAGAAATCAAGTATTTTTTAATGTCCTTAGATTTAGAGACATAGCCAAAGTTTAAAATGATCCTCTGGGGAGACTTGTTTGGATGAATTTTTTTCCTCTTCCCAACACACTTCAGAAATGTAGCTAAGTATTGGATCTTTTTCTTGACCTGGTACAGTGATAGAGCTCTGCAGTGACTGAAGTTTGAAAATTCTTCCTTTTGCCAAAACGTTTCCTGCAGACTGTTTTGACTCATGCTGCTTGTGAAACTCCCCTGGCTGCCATTAGCTTCTTCAAAATGGCCATACTGTCCTAACACTGACTTTTCTCCCTTCCCACTATCCCCCATTTTCCTAAATTCCAAAGCCTCATAAGCTTGGTTTACCAAAATGTCATAAGAATGAGAGAGAGAAATGGAAAAACAGGGTGAGTCAAAGTACAGGATTATGCAATAGTTATAATACAAATCCTCGGGTGGCACAGGCCACCCTGTTGCATCCCAGGAATACGGGTGGAGATTGCATTTGTCATACCTGACCACATGATGCTACGATTTTATGTTGGTGATTTCTTTACATAACCTACAGCTAGGTCTATGGCTACAAGCCTTGGGCCATGGAAATATACGAGCTGTCACCTTTGTACATTTTTCCGAGTGACCAATCTTGCTGAGTGACATCTGGCTTACCTGAGCCCAGATTGCTCATTTTTCAACAGGTTATACAAAGGAATATGTAGTACAGGAGTTAGCTAGAAAACCAGATTGATTTAGCTTCTACTTTTCATTGCAGTTACAGGTAGGATACTATAGGAAGTCAGTGCAAGGTGCATGCTAGATTGTTTTTTAAGTCCCTGGGGTCAGTTTCGTGGTTTCTGCTTTCTTGCCTAAATGTTGAGGCTATTTGAAGTCAACATTGAAAACCAATTTTGGGGGCTGGGGATTTGGCTCAGTGGTTCCACTGCCTGACTTGCAAGCACAAGGTCCAGAGTTCGATCCCCAGTACCACAAAAAAAAAGGCAAACCAATTTTTGCTTTCATTCTTATAACTATGCCTATTTATAAGAAATTCATAATCTTATGTGATCAGACAGAAATTTCTAAAGCAAAATGAAGCAATGGCATGGTCTTTTAAGTCCCTACTCCTCATGTCTTATGAGTGCAGGGTGAATCTTTGGTTTACCGCACTATGTTAAAATAGCCATTTCTACAAGATCTTGCCGGAAGGGTTCCCCAGCCAATACCACAAATGAGGGAAGAAGCAAAAACTAAACCGTCTTTGACCCTGACATAGCAAGCTATTTGTCTTCGGTGTTCAAGGCATGACTAGTATTTCTAATTAGTCTAATAAATTCCCACACTTCCTGAAGTGAACACTAATGGTATTGTCCTACTAAAACTTTCATGTTTTGTTTTTTTTTTTTAAACTGGTCAGTAATTCACAGTAAGCTATAAGGGTAAATAAATATGTGCTTAACATGTAAATCGTAGTTGCAAGAATATACCATGAAGGCTGAGGAGCCTGGGTTTCCTTTCCGTCCTCCCACACACTTCTCATTGAATTGTATGGTTGACTTAATTGGCACCACACCTGTTGTATGATATTATACATTATCCTTTATTTATGTAAAATAAAATGCCTTATATATTAAAGAGTAAGTGCAATAATATGAAATAGCCTGTACATTTTTAAATGTTGTCGCCAAGTTATGTAAATCCACATGTGTACACAACTTTTTTAAGTAATTTTAAAAAATAAACTGCTTACTACTTCTTTTTTCCATTGTTCTTCATTTACAGAGTATGAAGATAAAATACTACCAGATACTACCTAGTTAGCAAGTAAATAGGTGAGAGGTACAAAGCCAGGAGAAATCAGTTAGTCACTTTTTCATTGCCACACTCAATCTTGACACAATCCAAAATCATTCTAACTCTAAAATCTTAAACATCCAACTCTTACAACTTCCTAGCTGGCTGGTCACTTCCTCCCACATGAAGACATGCTGTCTTCAATAAGCCCTCTAATCCCTTGAAAACTATCCACTTTCTCCCCATTAGAACCCTACCCTTTCACTCCCTTCCCTGGACCAGTCCATGGTAGGATACAGCAGCTTCTGTCCGGCCCACAGGCTTAGGCCCTTTGCCCCACTGACCTGTCTTTCCAGTCAAGCCTGGATTCTTTCTTAGCCGTGATCTTGGCTCTTACAGTCCTAAAGAAAAGTCCCCCACAGAAAAATATAGCTGTAAGCTGTATGTCCCAACCTCTATTGGACCTTCGTTGGTGCTCAGTTTTCCTCTCGTTTTTCACAATGATTACTCACCTTCCCCCTCACACCTGGGTGATGTGGGGTCCTACTTCACAAAATAAATAAAGCATCTATATAGGCTCCTTGGTTTTAAGATTCAGAGAGCAACTTACAGGCAGCCCAAGGAAGAAAAGATGGCACCTCACAGAAATCCAAGAGTGGCACCCAGCATGAGACCAGTGAGAGCGCCGAGATTCCTGGGTTTCACTGGTAGGCTTCCAGAGTTAGGGATCTGTTTCTGCCACCTAGCTAGCACCCTTATCCACACTCAAGTGACTGTTACCTAGGAAACTTTGACTACCACTTTGTCATAATTTTGGGTCATACTATATCCCAGAACTTTTCTTGACATACAAGCTGCTGTTTAATGTTTCCATATATATCCCAAAGTAAGGCTCTGATTGACTCAACTTGCCTCTCAAGTGTAAAGCATTTTCCCCAGAGAAAGGTTTTGTTGTGGTTTTTTAATTACCCCATTCCCTGAAATCCACTGGAATGAATAAAAAAGGAAATTCTAGTTCTACAATATGGAAACAGCCATTAGTGCATTCTATGAATTTGGAAAACTATACCATGTATAAAAACCTAAGACCAAACTGATGAACAGCAATTAAGTGGGATACAAATCTGTCTGACAGAATAGTTGACATGAAGTAAGTTCTGAAGACCACCACCCAAAACCCTTTCCTTAGAAAAACGGATACAGGATGTGCCTGATCTGGAGTCATCTTCATGCCTCAGGATGGTGGGGACAGTAAGGAAGAAGGTGATCATTTCCATTTCTCCAGGCACCTTCTGGTCAGTCTAAGAAGGTCAGAGTGACACGTAAGGCCCAGTCCGATCTGAGGAAAGCCTCCACCAGACAGGACGCCACAGTGCAAAAACAGCTATGTCAACAAGAGACACTGCCCAGTCACCCCCACTCCACACAACTCCTGTTCCCTGCCCAACAGCGGAGTACCCCAGGAAAGGTTAAAAATCGTGGTATACAGTGCCCCTCTCCAGATCTAAGAGGTGAAGTAAACGACGCCTGAACAGAGCAGTGAAGGATCCACTACTAACAATCTTAAGCCAAATGGCAAGCTCAGGTAGAAATCACCTAAGCCTACTGAACTGGATTCGGCAGGGGTCTTCCTTTGTAAAAGGGGGCAAAGAAAAAACAGAGGAAAAGGTATGGAGGGAGATAAAGGTATGAAAAAGTGCCCAATGCCCACAAATACCAGAGAAAATAAGGTAAACACCCTCATCCAAATTTGGAAGGTACCCCCAACAAAACTGAAAAAGTCAGCAGGGATAAACCACTACCCAGCATCACCACCAAGACAAATCTGGTACCACAATCTGTATAAGTGAAGTAGGAGGAGGCAAACAGGTCACCTGATGGCCATAAAAAGACCCCACCATAGGCCTGGTGTGGGGGTGCACAACTGTAATTCCAGCACTCAGGAGGCTGAGGCAGAAGGATCACTAAGTTCGAGTCTGATGGCCATAAAAAGACCCCACCATAGCTCTGGTGTGGGGGTGCACAACTGTAATTCCAGCACTCAGGAGGCTGAGGCAGAAGGATCACTGTAAGTTCGAGACCAGCCTGGGCTACATAGTTCCAGGTCAGTCTCAACTATGTATTAAGACCCTGTCTTGGGGTGGGGAGACCCCACCATAATCAACACAATAGTAAAGTTCAGAAACAGAGCTAGGACTTGAGTAGTGTTCCACCCTCTCACTGTGGGCAAGTGTGTAAAGTGATGTAGGAAGAAAGAGCTCATGCAGGGTATGAACTTGCAAAATACTACTCTGGGGAGAAACCACCAGAAATACAATCCTAACTGAGCATAATAAAATAATTGAGCACAAGAGCCAAATAATTGGTTCAAGAGCCAGGTGTGGTAGAACATGCCTGTAATCCCAGCACTTGGGAGGCTAAGGCAGGAAGACTGCCACAAGGCCAGCCTGGGCTACATACACAGTGAGTTCAAGGCCAGTCTGAAGTACAGTGAGACCTTCTCTCAAAAACAAACAAAAAAAGGGATAAAAGGTGAGGGAAGTGAGTCTCAGAAAATTAACTGCCATATTTCTGAACACCCCACCAAAATAGAGACAAAAGCTAGAAAATTAAGTTAGGCTGACCCAGACATTCTAAAAAGAACAGGAAAAGTAGTTGATCTGAAAGAGAGGAGATGCTACAGGGCAGCAATAGTGAATGATAACAAAGAGCTGGCTGTGGCAAGAGTGCCACAGGTTCACCACCACCACTACAGGGTCAAGTCCCACACAAAACTATTAAAGAACAACAAAGTGCTTGCTTCGGCAGCACATATACTAACTAAAATTGGGATGATACAGAGAAGATTAGCATGGCCCCTGCACAAGGATATGCAAATTCATGAAGCGTTCCATATTTTGTAAATAAGATCCAAATTGTATAATTCACAATGTGAACTAGGAAGAAAAGGGCTAAAGGTGTAGGGGAAGTGGGAAAGATAGGAGAAAGGAAATAAGGGAAAGTAAAAAATACGAAAAAATGGAAACAAAGTCTTGTAAATGAGGAGGGGAAGGGGGTGAGGGGAGGGCAGGCAGGGGTAAGGGGGAAAAAAATAAGAACCAAGACCTGTCATGTAAAGGTACAAGTTCCCAATGATGAATGTAACTGTACTGTGTACTTAAAAAGTACCAAAAAACCCAATGAGGAAAATAAATAAACAACGTAAGGACAAATATAGTCCCCCAAAACAGCACATCAGAAAGACATACCCTGCAATGAGAACTGTGACTTGACACCACAAAACGAGTTGTAATACATCAAGAAAATGACACAAACTATGACTAACAAACCAAAATTTGAAAAATTCAGAAACTTAAACTCAAGAGAAACTAAAATTAAATAATTAAATATTTCAAGAGTGAACTAGAAATGTTGTCTGAATGAACACAGTAACACCTTATGATGGGAAAGAGAAAATAGAGGAGGAAATGTTTAAAGGTGAGTAAAAAACCCACACAAAACTGAAAACTACAGAAAATACAGGTGAGGTCCCCCAAAGAAAATCTAAAAAAAGAGAACCCTAACCCATACAGTTAGTTTTGTTAATCATATCTCCCCAGACTGATATACATACCTGACCACAAGGCACATTCAACAGGACAGTTAAAATCTCCTCCAAATCCCAGCACTTGGGAAGATGAGGCAGGAGGACTACACATGCAAGGCCAGCTTTAGCTATACCATGAGACCCTGTGTTTTAAATAAATAAAAATAAATTGGAACATCAAAGAAAAACCACATGCAAATTTCAAGGACTAGGAAAACCAACTGTATCACATAGTTAATCAATACATAAAAACATCAATGCCCATTAGAAAAATGAAGAGAGAACATAAATAGGTAACTTGCAGGAAAAGATACAAAATTATTAAAACAGAAGTAACGATAACCAACCCTCAACAATTAAAACTTGGTAATTCTCCCCTATTAAACTGGCAAAGGCTAGACTGAAGATACCCACTACATTACTGGCTAGGGTGCAGGGAAGGTAACACTGGCATTGGTAGAAGCTTAAGTCAAACTAGAAATCACCTTGGCTTTATCTCTTATGTTTTCAAAGTATATTCTTTAATCAAGTCCATGCTAAAAATTAGGTAAATATAAAGACATGTACACAAAAACATACATTATTTGTAATCATAAAAAATATGATGGGCCGGGGACTTTGCTCAGTGGTTCCACCACCTGTCTCGTAAGCAGAAGTTCCAAGTTCTATCCCTGGTACCAAAAAAAAAAAAAAAAAAAAAAAAGACTAACCCATGTCTACTAATGGGAGATTCAACTAAGCTGTACAATAACACCATTCAAAAGAACAATTACTCTGAAAGCTCTCTAGAATATAAATGCAAAAAAGCAAACTGCATTAATGCAAGTCATACTATACTACTGTTCTATCGGTAACTACCTATATAATTCTAACCTTGGGCTGAGAAAGTATACATATCAATTTAACTAAAACATGTTGCCATCTATATTTCTTTGAAGGACAGACTGCAGGTTATGAGTAATAATACCACCATCTGACATTTGGGTAGAATTTATACCAGGTATATCATCCTTGGACCCATGGGCTTCAGATAACTGAAAACCATGATCTGGATAAAAGTGAAATGGAGCAGTATTACCTGCCAATGTTACAGGAAATTAATACAAGATGGAAAAGTCAGAGTAGGAAATTAAACCCTATAAATACCTCAGATAAACTTGGATCTGGTGGTTTCCATGCTGTTGGGGCCAGAGTAGCCATGACCAGCAGTCAAACTTGTTAACAAACTGAGTGACAAGGCGGCAGCCCAATGCTGCCACTGAACCACTCAGAACACCACCCCTTTTCCCTTTTGGGTGATGACAAAATGGAAGCATTCATTCATTATGCTTTAATAAATCACTGTACCCACCTGTTCACAAACAAGAGAAGGGCTGAGTGGAAGAAAGAGTCAGAAGTCACTGGTCAATCCTATTTCAGCAAGTCGGGCGTTCCTAGCCATGTGATACATGCAAATGCTTCTTCTATCTAAAACATAGTAAATTAGGCATTCTCAAAAGATAATTTACCTTTATTATTACTTCTATGTATTTGTCTTCTGATCTATTAGCCTCACTGTAAAATAACTTTATTAATATCAGTCCATGATAATTAACTTTATAAAGACTTATAAGGATGCTGCCAAAAAAAAGTAGACCAAGAGGAAAAAAAGAATTGAGATGTGCTACGTACATGTACCAATTCCCCACTATGAATCATAATGTATTGCAAACATGTACTAATAAAAATACTTTTAAAAATTTAAGGGCCAGGGATTTAGCTCAGTGGTTCTGTCACCTGCCTTGAAGCTCAAGATCCCAAGTTTGATCCCTGATACCAAAAAACATATAAATTATTCCAGGATGTCGCTTTAATCTTTATTTGCACCCCCATGAGTTTCTGTGTGCCTGCCTGATGCTTTTCTCACAGAAAAGCCCGACTTGCATGTAAGAAAAAAAGAAAAATTGCCAGAGTGTCATCATTTTGCTCGGTGTGAATGTGCTACCACTTTGGGATCAAAAGCTTCAAGTTACTACAGCATGTGACAGTAGGCAACTCACCTTCTGTGAGTCTGTTCATGTTAAATGAAGATTAGTAACTAGAGACGGGGAGGTCAAAATGAGAAACGATTTCCCTAGGCACAAAGCATGTGCCTACTAAGCTTCTATTAGAATACTGCATCAGGTTATTTTCAGGAACAGTTATCAATTTAACATATAAAGAAGCCAAAAGGGGTGCCAGGGATTTAGCTCAGGGGTTCTACTGCCTGCCTCACAAGCACAGGGTCCTGGGTTCGATCCCCAGTACCAAAAAAAAAAGCCAAAAGAAAAAGGTACCTACTAATTCTTTGCACAACGATACTTACCCTAAGTTTAATATAAAAATTCAATGCCTGATTTTTTAAATTCTGCCAGCTTTAACTAAAATGACACTAACCTGTGGAAATGCTGCTCCTACCACACAGAACTACTTCCATGCAGACACACCATTCCTACTTTAGAGGGGTTTTGGAGGAGCATGTGTTCTAGGTAACACATGCCCCTCCAAATTTGACTCCTCTCCTCTCTTGGCTGCAGACATGTGGACTGAAAGGGGTCACACGCATGCTGAGAGTGCACTCAGCTCTAAACAAACAGACAAAAGTGTGGGCCAAGGCCTTGCTCACCCTGCACAGCAAGATCAATCAATACTGCTGCTGAAATGATTATCCTAAAACACCCATTACTTCACTTCTAATGTCTTTTTTTCAAGAGGATAACAGTACATTTTTTTCTTGATAAGAAATTTCAGACATGGCATCAGGTTTCAGTAACCATTTTATGTGAAGAACTTTAATAGTTTCTACACTTAATTACTACCAGCAGTGTCACTTTTGTAGGAAAAGAAAGTGATTTTAACAGATAGAAAACTCTTTTCTAAATATTAATGCAGGGGTTGACAGACCACAGCCCATGCACAGCTGCCTATTTCTATAGTTTTACTGCAAATTGCAACACAGCATAGCCATTTATTTGTATTGTCAATGACAGCTTTCAATGAGCAGAGTTGAGTGGTTTGCACATAGATTGTATGTGGCTCAAAACTAAAAGATCTACTATCTGGTTCTCTAAGAAAAAAGTGTGCCAAACTCTACAATGAAATATCACAGTGCTGTAAAAAAGTAAAACTTCATTTGAAAGCAAACTAAGGACACAAAAATACAAATGACATGCTTGCTCTGATTCAGGCACTTTCAAGATCATAGTTTATTTATTACTTCAGATAAAAAGATAGTATACATATTAGGGAATCCCTTAAAATTCAACTCTAGAGTTATACACCATCTAGTACTTTTGCAGTGAATGTTAACCCCCAAAAAAATTCCTAAACACCTGAAAGCCCCACTATTGACAAAACTATGGTAATAAAAAATTTGACATTTAATTTTTTCAATGTATAGTATTTACATTATGAAACCAATGGTGGTACGATAAACAGTGATAAAGAAATAGTAAAAATAAACTTTAAAAAGCAAAGACTTATAATCTTACAATGTGCTAATTATCATAATTGTATCTAAAAAAAATTAAAACATAGCAGAGCTTTCTGTTACAAAATTCTTAATCATCTGAGTTGTAGTCATTACTTGCTACCAATTTACATGCAACAGGTGCTAGGACATTTGATTTTTTTCTTCAAGAAAGTATAAAAATTGACTTTTCAGAGCAGACATTAATTTACTTATGGACAGAAGAAAAAACTGTACTTAAGATTAGTACTGGTCACAAGCCTCTTTCCTACAGAAATCAAAAAAAGTGTTAATAAAAAAAAATCCAGAAATGCATAGGCAAAGAGTACCATGAGTGGCACAGCTCAAAAAAATCCTGCAACCAATTAGATACTCATCTTTTCCATCTCCTCCTATGATGAGAGGTCTATTCTGCCATCATATTATGACTGCAGCAGGTGTGAGGGGGCACCAGGTGTATAACTAAACCTTGCAAAATACTAAGACGGGGGGCAAGGGTGGCCAGAAGGAGCAATTTATATATAATTCAAACTATATACAGCATAAGTGGAATGCAGCCCATCCCAAACTGGCTTTGTGAAACAACTGGACCTCTCTGACTGAATAGTTAAAATTATCATAATTGTAATAATACAATAGATTTACATGGGAAACAAAATCCAGGGGACAATTTATATTAAGTATTTACTGTGCTGTTTCAATTTAAAAATAATTTTGCTAAGTATACATCTCAACTGAGGTCTATGTATAAAATTTCCTAATAGATACAGATATTTACCTTTGGTGAGTTGAAGGCCTTGTTGTGACTTGTCTGAATTATAGGCAGAATGCTAATGTACATGCACAGGAGGGAAAACTCAAGCTGAGGTAATCCAAAAGCTGTGCATATGGGGTGACTGGAGGTACTTTGAAAGTGAAAGTATACCAGAAACCCAAAACAGGTAACAGTGAGAATGGCAAGGGGGAATGGAATGCCAATATGGCAGTAAAATTTGTTAAGAACAGAAAGAGGAAGGCCTCTCGTACCAGCAGAATCCTGCATACACACAAAAAAGAAAAAGCCACCCACCATTTCATAAAAACCAATTATAGTGTGGGAAGTACAAACTGCAGAAAACCAGAAGTCAATAGAAGAAAAACTACTGGTTGCATGAGAAAAAGGAAATGTTTCATTCTGACAGTTACTTGGTGAACGCAGCCACCACTGCCCACAGAACCTCGTTGGTGCCGGCCTTCAGACATTCTACTTCTGGGTCCAAGTCCAGAAGCTGCCGAACTCTCTTGGTGGCTAAATCATACTGCTCATCCAGAAGAGGAGCAAATGCATTCTCCAGGACATCTGAGGCATGGGCTAGATAAATGAGGGCCAGCAAGCGCTTGTCCATACGATGAGGGTCATTCACCCATTTCTCAAGAACAGCTTCTTGTACCTTCTTGATGAGGCGCTGTTTAATGTTGTTGTTGGTAAGAGGATGCGTCGTCATGTCAAAAAGTAGGAAGTTCTGTTTCTCTGTCGTTAGTACACCCTTTTCCACCAGGTTTTTAGCTAATCGTTCCCGCACGTTTCTTAACTGATAATGCAATTTTAAAGGATTCCATGTCTCACCTAAATCAAAGATTTCAAAAGTTAGAAATGGATATTACCTAATTTTGACATTTCTGGAAAAAAAAAAAGCAGTGAAGTCAACCCCCTCCCCCAAGAAATAAAAGAACATCCAACAATGTTTGTCTCCTTCACTAGACAACAAAGCTAGTCCCTTCAGACTCTCAACATTGCCCATTCTCAGGAATAGTAGTAGTCACTCAAAAATCTAAACTGAAAATTAGTCTTGAAATCAGTTAACCTTAGTCTAAGGAGTAAAATGGGCCAAACACTATGCTCCTGCCACCTTCCAGGTGTTGTCAAAAAAGCAGCCAACACAATCAGCAATAGACAAAAGGAAAAAAGCTTCCTGATTATACATGCTATTCCTTAACTGCCACGTACAACGTCACTAATTACAGGAAAGCCTGCATTGGCAATGTTATTCTTTGATGACAAATAATATAAACTAATTCTAAGAGATCGAAAAAGTGTTACAACTTTAATCTTACCATCTTGCCTTGACAGACAAATTTAAAATAAAACCAAATTAGCCTTTGTTTTTCTTTAAAGCAGAATGGAAGGAAATTTATCAAAGTATTAATTTGGTTATCTTTTGGAATATGTGCAACAAATTTTTAAAAATATTTTCTATATTTTTCCAAATGATACTCAATGAACACACGACTATGTTTATAATTTGGGGGAAAACTATTACAGTAGTTTCCTAAGTCAGAACATGTTAAATGTCAACCACAGGCACCTTTATTAAAAATGCAAGAACTCTAAGGCTAAAATTTACAACACAGAGAAAACTAAAAACTCCACTGCTCATTACTCATGCGTTAATTAAATGAAACTATTAAAACTTCTAAAAATACAGTTCCTCAGTTGTACAAGCCATATTTCAAGTACAAGCCATATTTCAAGTACAAACAGCCACATGTGGCCAATAACTAATGATGAGACAGCAAAGGAATAAAATTTTGTTTTGATGAAGTGGGGATTGAACCCAGGAACTTCACATCAAGCTACATCCTCAGCACCTTTCTATTTTTTGAGACAGTCTCACTAACTTGTTCAGTTACCTGGGCTTGTCTCAAACTTGAGATACTCCTGCCTCAGCCTTCCAGAGTGCTGGGATTACAGGATGTGCCTGCCATAGCACCCAGCAGAACAGATCATTCTCATCATCAAAGACTGTTCAAATAGATGCTGTCACCTTAATACTCGGCCATAGACAAGCATGTTGGTAGACTTAATACTAAGGTTATGATGAGTCATAAACTGATACAAGAATTGCCTTCCCACCATAATTAGAAATGTGAATAAAATATTAGAAAACAATTCTTTTCAGATAGTGCAAAAAGTAGCCCACAACCATAACCCTTAAGGTAAAACTAAGTGAGCCATATGATTGTCCAAGCCTGATGATACCTGGAGGTACATCCCAAGCAGCAGGGCAGGAAGAAAGACAGTTACTCTGGATTGAGAAATCAGAGATCAGAGGTCAGGGCAGCTAAAGCAGCTGAAATGTGCAAGGCAAAATACTGAAGAGAAAGCTACAGAGACAAGGATCTAAAACCCTGCATGGTATCCCCTTGAATCTCTGACTAAATACTAAGCCACATATGTTATGGTGAAAAATTCAACAAGGCTACACAAAGAACAAATATCAAAAAGCTGTAAACTAAAAAAGGCCAAGAGTTCACACAAAACCAGGAAAAGCTTGAGTGTCAACAAGACTGAGTAAGAAAGCCTCACTGAAAATCCAGGACATACAGAGGGACTCCAGAAGGATCACACTTTATTCAGACTAAACCACCCCAGAGTGAAGGCTGCTATACCTGCCCTCACAATGCTTTAAAACAGGTGGATACACCAGGCGTGGTGGCACATGCCTGTAATCCCAGCACTCGGGAGGCTGAGACAGGAGGATTGCTCTGAGTTCAAGACCAGCCTGGGCTACATAGTGAGTTCCAGGTCAGTCTCAACTACATAGTGAGACCCTGTCTCAAAAAAACAAAAAATTAAAAAAATGAAACAGGTGGATATGCAACTGCATGTGGTGGTGGTGGGGGTCAACCATACACAGTCAACCATAAAAGTATCCACAAAATTTAAAGGGAAATAGACACACAATGATGAGAAAACTGGAGCTAGAATGATACAGAACTGCTAAGTTTGCAACTTATTTGGAAAAAGTAGGGACTATACAACAGACCAAGTCGTGGTAGAGTACACCTGCAATCCCAGAATTTGGGAAACTAAAACAGGAGGATTGCCACAAGTTCAAGGCCAGCCTATACTATATAGTGAGTTCAAGTCCAACCTAAACTACATAGCAAGACCCTGTCTCAAAGAAATAAAAAAATAAAATTATATGATGAAAGGCTAGTAGCCCTGAATTACTAAAGTCACTACATGGATGTAAAGAAAACAATTTTTTCAGCCGGGGATTTAGCTCAGTGGTTCTGCCACCTGCCTCAGAAGCCCAAGGTCCAGAGTTTAATTCCCAGTACAAAACAAAACAAAAACAAAACAATTTTTTCAGACAAAAAAGCCTGGCAAACGAATAAGCCTGGCAAATCAGTTCCACAAACAACAACAAAATCACTATATTGAGTTTCCTTGGTACTTTCAAAATGGAAAAAGGATCAATATATATTCAGAGCCATATCAGACTTTAAAACCTAAAACTTTAAAAGAAAAACTGAATAACATACATAATTCTTATTTCCCTTTCTGATGCTAAACAAGCTCACATACCACATTTACTGTAGCTATAGTTAAAAGTTCCTCGATGGGGCAGTATAGCACAACAGAGACATGCTATGTAACCAGAATGGCTAAGTTTAAATCCTGGTTTAGTCATTTTCTAGTTGTACAGCTTTGTACAAGGCTCCTTAGTATCTCTTCCCCCATATACACATGATCTCACTACTTTGCCCAAGCTGTCCTCAAACTCTCAATCCTGCATTCGCCTCCCAAGTGCTGGGATTACAGTCATGCACCACCAGTCAGCTCTCCTTAACCTATTTCTCTATTTCTTCATCTGTAAAGTGTAGGTAACAACTGCACTGGGACCACAGGACAATGAAAACTGAATTACGCTATCTCAAATTCTCAGAATAGAGGATGACACATGGGAAGCTCTCCATAATGTTAGCTCTTATTATTTACCTATGTGTAGAGTCAACATTTTGGAAAAAAGAATTTACAGACTCATGATGTTTTAAGAATCACATTAAAGAAGACATTTCTAAACCTGTATTTAAAATCAAGTGAAGGAAACATTCATAATATAACTATACAGCCTAGAATAAAAGGGAAATAAGTCCCTAAGGAAATTACAAAGAAAGTTCCCAGAGGAATAAGGAATGATTGATTTGAGTTTCATATTAAAGGGAATTTCTAAGAAAATTATAGAAGAAAGAACATTCAAGTTAAATCTAGAAAACGAGAAGAGTCAACATCCTGTAAATAGAAAAGACTGTATTCCAGGCAGAAGAAACAACAAAGTGTGAATGCAGCAATTACATGCTAGCTAAAAGCCTTGAAGAGGAGGTATGCATGTTCTTTCAACTGTGTACAAATGCCAATTTTTTACTATGCCAACCCACCATCTCCCAATAAATGCCTCCCTGCTGCATCATTCACAAGACAGTTTGGGATTCATTTTTCTTTCCTAATGGCAATAAGGGAATAGGCAGCTTAAATAAGAACAGTACAGGTTGGCCAGAGAGTTGGCTCAGTGGTTCCACCACCTGCCTCTCTGGTTCCGCCACCTGCAATGACCCAAGTTTGATGATTCCTGGTACCAAAAAAAAAAAAAAAAAACACAGTATATGTTGTATTAATTGACTTTGCAGGATTTAAATTAACACACATTAAATAGCCAAATGTAAAAGCCTATCCTAAAAGCCACAGCTCAATTCTAAAATTAACTATGTAGATAATTTCTAAGTTATCAAAAAAGAAAATACAGCTGGGCACAGTGGTGCACATTTGTAATCCCAGTACTTGGGAAGCTAAAGCAAGACTGCCTGGAATTCTAGGCCAGCCTGGATTACATAACAAGACCTTCTCAAAAACCTGTCCCCTGACAACTCTAGCTAATTAGGTATTACTACCTTAACACATTTATGTTGTCACAAAACCAAATATAGCACAACAAATGATTCTCAAGCCATCCTTATTTGTTTTAAGTAAGTAAATAAAACAGGAAGGGATTTTACGCCCCAGAAAAACATCCTGGCCAGCTGGGCAAGGTGGTACATGCTCATAATTCCAGCACTCGGGAAGCTGAGGCAGAAGGATTACTCCGAGTTCAAGGCTAGCCTAGTTCATCATGAGTGCAAGGTTAGCCTGAACTGCATAGCAAGACCCGGCCTCAAAAATCTGATTGATTGATTGATAGATAGATAGATAGACAGACAGACAGAGAGACAACATCCTGGCCATTTAATTCCCAAAAAATAGGAAAAAAAATTAAGACAGGTAATTTTGAAAGCCCTATAGTTAAATTACTTTGCTAAATAATTAAAATTCCTCTAATACTGCTATATGATTTTTCTTCCTCAAAGGAAATTGTGAGATTAACAGTTTTTGTACTAAAGTTAAGATTTATCCTCACCTTACTCCTAATTAATTACATGCTACAACCAATGGAACATGTAATGTTTATAAAATTCCTGTGAGAAATTTCTCAACTCCAAAGTACACTACACCTTAAGAGTTCCATGTTATTACTAAAGAGGAAGAGCCTAGACACAAACCCACCTTCAAACAAGGTGTTCCACTTATGATTGGACCTTCTTATAAGCAACCATTTCTGCCTCAGAGGAAGTAATAAAAGGGGACCAAGGCAGCATCTTCTTTTGTAGCAATTCCCTAGAAGAGGGTAAACCATGTGTGCTCACTCTGACAAAAAGTGGGTTATTCCAATCTCGTCATATATAAAAAATGGATTGTTCAGATCTCTTCAGGTATAAAAAAAAAAATACATCTTACAAACAAAAGGCTGAAACAATGTAGGAACTATCCCAATGTTGTATAATACTTCTTGTGGTACAGAAAAAGAAAGAAAAAAGTATAGGAAATGAGTGTTCAAGGAATCTTGGTATCCAGAAATTTTTACATTTTTATAAAAACAAACTAAGTTAAATCCAAAGAGTAACATCACTTCTAAGTTAACTTAAAATTAAGAAATCAACATAACTCAGGAGGAGAAAAATAGATGGAATAGTGAAGATCTAATCAAGGTTACAAAAGATTTAGCTGCTTAAATTTAAGGTCACAGAAAACTTTTAAAATTTTGTAGTAAGTACTTGTGCTCCCTTCAGCAGCCCATATACTAAAGATTTTGTAGTAAGTACTCAATGAATGAACGAACAATGCTTGATCCATAGGTTACTGTGGTCCATTCTATTATTCATCAGTCCCTAAATTATTCACTGTGGAAGTGAAAGGACTCGATAAAGTATACATGTAAATTTAAAATGTATAAAATTTATCTGTAGTTCTTATTTTTTGGTAAAAGAAACTGAGAGAAATGTATATAAAGAGAAAAGGTTCTTTAAGTTCACTGAACAACAATCACCTCAGTGGAGAACAACATACTGACAGGTACCGAAGTAATTTCACTACAAAGAACTGCTATCTTCCTGGGCAACACATTGGGAAGCTTCCTTCATCAATTTGGCAGTCTAGTAACACTTTATTAATAAACTAAGCCAGAAACTTACTCTTAACAACGGTAGTTTTTAAACTTTTTGCCTTCAATATATGCAACTAATAATAAGTATATACTTATTAAGTATTAGGGGCCAGAGATTTAGCTCAGTGGTTCTGCTGCCTGCCTTGCAAGTGCAAGGACCTGAGTTCTATCCCTGGTACAAACAAACAAACAAACACATAAATAAATACATTTTAAGCATTAAAGATGTTTAAATATATGCTTAGAATTTATTGATGGTTTTACCATGAATATATACACAACATAAATAATAAAATGAGCCTTAGTATCCTCCATCCTCAATAAAGAAACACTTTTTTCTTTTAAACAGTATCTGACTTAACAACATGGTGGAGGGCAGGGTCTCACTACCTTGCCCAGGCTGGTCTTAAACTCGTAACTCATCCTCCTGAGTAACTGAGCTAGCTTACCAGCTAATAGCCTCCTGTATTCCTGTATTAGAAGTCCCCTGTATGCCATCCCACCTCAGAGATAACCACTGGACAGACATCTGTTATTCATTCTCTTTTCCATATATAGATATAATCACATTTCCTTTAACAATACAATATATAATTTTGGAAACCAAGTAGCAAGTACAGATTTAGCTGTGAAAGGACAGACTCACCAATTTACTACCTCCTAAAATCACCGAACATAATGGCACACCACACCACCACAGTTGGTAAGTTGGAGGGACCAGCACCTCATGTCAGAACCTGGTCTAACTTCAGGGGAAAGTCAGCTGGAACCTGCAGTAGAACCTTGCAGAGCTCAGCAGAGCAGGAGGTCAGAGATCTCATGTTGGGCCTTGCAGCCAAAAAACTATGTTCATTCTTACTCTTCAAAGGTCTCGATCCAATATCCACTTCTTTCCTTCAACTACTAAAGTTCCCAAGGAATTATCTTTTTCCAGTTACTGAACTTTCAGAAAAACATACAGTTAAAGCTCTAATTTATCACACTATTAGACATGCACAACTGTTTCCCAAATTGATTCTAAGATTTTTTTTTTTTTTTTTTTTTTTTTTTTTTTTTTTAAAACATCT